AGGCTATTGATTTGATAGGAACAAGTGTCTATAAAGTGATTGTTGATGAAATAACAGAGATCAAAGTTACACAATAACTTCTACGTATATGCATTTTTAAATTTTAGGCAACTTGCATCGCATTATGCAGAATTATGTAGCATGAAACATCGCCTGCATAATGCATACGTCACATCTCTGCTCATATATTATTTGGGAACCTGTTAACATATAAAGTAACTATTTATTTGATAATCGTTGTATACAGATAACTTTCGTTACTGTTTTAGATTAGATGATCCTCTCTTTACATGATGTTAGCCAATAGAAATATTCTTATTTTTAGCTAACATAACTACATCTTACAGTGCATGCTTTTTCCTGTATAATCCGGAGTGAAAGAATATTAAAGAAGTATATACCAAAATTTTATTCTATTTTTAGTTAACCATTATAAAGTTTTACAAAGAGAATTTACAGATTTATTTATTAGAAATTAAATTGTCCGGTGGTCATTGATATCATACTTCAAACAAGTTTTGTGAACAAGAAAGGAAAAAGTTTTCCATATTAATCAGCAACAAAAGATCATGGTATTTTTAGATCAAATCTCGTAAACACATAGAATGAAATATTTAAAGAACAGAAAGTAACGACAGTTGTAAATTTTTTCATTAACAAAATAAACCAAAGCAATAAATTAAAAAAAAAAAATGTTTATTGATTTATTCCGACACAAATATATAGTCGAGCCAAAATCAGTTAAAATTCTTCGACTTTCTGTTATTGGCATATCTACAGTAATAGTGATTGTTATATTTATAATATTATGTATCGAAGTGCATGCTGAACAGCCTAGTATTAGGACGACCTTTAACGAAGTTGATAATTTGCCCATACCAAGTAAAAATTATTTTTAAATTAAAAATAAATCCTTGGCTCAATCAGTTTATATGACGCAATTTTAATTTAATATAGATATCTATTTTAATCACTTATATGATTTCACCATTGTCTGTAGTCTTACTAGTGGTATTGGTATGTGTCTTATTTTCTTAATTGGTTATACATCATGCATATTACATACTTAATTCAAATTTTTTTAGCAACTAGTGATTGTACTGAATTTATCATTAATACAAGACAGAATAATCCTGAAATTAGTGCTTACAGTTATACTGGAGCGTTTCAACCAAATAACAGCGCTATTTCTCGAACGAATGGTGTTCTTTTTGATCTTTTAATATTTATCACTGATCCTCAATATAATTCATCAAATCAAACTTCCTTCATGGAAATGGTGGCATTTGATAAAGGCAAGGCATTTTATGAAATATTTGTTAATTATCTAACAGTAGTTAATATGAAAGTAAATGATTAAATGGTTTAGAATATGATAATTATGATATGGATATTCAAGACCTTAGAGGTACACCAACTCCATTTGAACGATCACTTCTTGATAGAAACGAATATTTTATATCACAACCTCAAAATGGCAGAATTGTGTGTATATTAATAATTTTAATGATAAGTTTGATAAAATTTGATAAAATTGATATTTTATATATTTTGTAGACCTATTATTGGAAATACACTAGAACCATCAAATATAGTATAATTAAAGATTTTTTAAGTTATTTTGGTAAACCAAGATACATCGAACAACCTTATATAGAAACAAATATACGTAAGAGCTTACATCGAATCTTTCTGCTCACTTCATTGATACTCCTTTTATCGACTCAACCCTTTAGTGACTACAATTCACTGACATATTTATTTTACAGAAAATCAATTCATAGACAAGTTCACTTCATAATCAGTTTATTTTATCGACAGCTCAATTTGTTTTGCTAAGACTCTAACATTACCAACTTAAAAAAGTTTCGCAGTTAAATTAGGATTAGGGTTTGTTATTAAGTTATAAAGAGCTTTATTTACACCAAATTTCCAAGAAGTTTTTTAGAATGGTGATGCTAGGATGATTGTTTTTTCACCGACAGCTCATTTCATAGACATTGGAGCTGGGTTAAAGTTAGTAAAATTTATAAAAACAAGCTTTTCTGTGAAATGAGAAATGAGCTGTCGGTGAAAAATTGTTTGTGAAATGAGCTGTCGGTAAATAAACTATCTATGAAAATTAACTTGCTTGCAAAACTAGTTTGTCTGTAAAATAAACTTGTCTATAAATAATTGTCTACAAAAAAAAAGGAGTGTTGGTAAAGTGATACGAAACCTCCTTTGCTTTTACTTTCAAAAATATTAAGATTAATTTATTTCAACTATTAGAAACTGTACCTTTTTCATCAATTAATCCATCAGATTTTCGTAAGAATAATTTTGTTATAAATATTTGTATCAAAGTATTAAAACTACGCTCCAGTAGAGATGGGCACGCGCGTGATCCGCGCGTGATCCCGCGCGTGATTCCGCGCGGGATGCGCGGGATTATTTTGGAGCCCGCGCGGGATTTTTAATATGATCCCAGGTAAAATTATCTGGCCGGCATTATCATATTATCTGACTGGCATTA